ACAAAACATGTCATAGATGTTGAGATGTATAATACAATGATAAAGCTGCACAAGCTGAAACCACCACAGTTTCCACAAATGATGGTGAATCGATTACTCGCCCGGAGCGCAAGCTTTGTTCTCTAGTTATGGGTATACTGCCGTGACCTTCTCAAATGGACTTAGTATAGACATATCCGGATTTTTAGACTTTGATAGACACCATAGATAAATACCAGGGATAAGACAGCCCTCGATAAGATTAAAGCTGAAACTAATGCTTGCAAGGTAAGTAGGGAGTCCTCCCCTGCGGTGCCACAAGACCCCCGTCTATTTCAGTCCTGAGCTGATTCTTCCCTTCTATCATCTTTCACCAACTTTATCACTGTCAATCTCATCAGCATCATTAATGCAGTCCTTTGGACCTTTCATATTTTGTGATTTCGGGAATTTGGTTGATTCCAAATTTGTTTTGTGGTTGACACTCCCTCTGACTATATTCATACGGCAGCAAAAACACAGATATACTTATAAATTACCCCCAATATACTCCGTACTACCAACAACATTTACCCATTTTACAATCCCCTTGAACCCAGAACAGACCAGGTTTCATAACCAGACTTAAAACTCCTTTTTTATTTTGCTCAAAAGTAAGACCAACAAACTAGTTATCAAGAATGCTTGCCCTCTCCACTGGTGCTCCCTTCAAAATTCCTTCGAGAACTGCACTACACTGCCTTTACTTCAATTACCCCCTTGCTATATGATATTGCTTGAGGAATAGGAAAGTACATACGACCACAGGGTGTGGAGAACAGGGCTTCCCGTCCGCTCAGCCGTACTTAAGCCACACGCCGGGAGGTTAGTAGTTGGGTGGGTGACCACCAGCGAATCCCTTCTGTTGTATGTTTTTATAATTTTTGGTCGCTGGTGGTGCGTGGGTAATAAACGAAATGGAAGACTTTTGATGCCATCACGTCGCTCCAGATGCCGGATAAAGGTTCTCCTGGAGAAGCAGACACCGAGTTTGAATCTGACGCCGATCCTGCAGTTGGCTACGACTCGGGATCTGGTTGCAACAAGATGTCATCCGCGATTGAAATGCCGTCCAATCAGACGGGTTGTATCGCAAGAGGAGATACCCGCAGCAAGGTAGCGTGTAAACAACATGAGAGAGCTACTTACCCCAATCCTCTTCTTCGACCATAAAGCGGTATAATGGCGAAATTTTAAGAACTAGTTGCTCTTTGGTGCAATGGGCGAGGAGGATGCGACCATGGCGCTTCCCCATAAATGAAAACAGCATAATCTAGACAGGCAAATGTAAGACGGCATAGAAGTGATGGGAAAGTCACCTGTGGTTTTTCAAGAAGGGAACATACGGGGATGATGGCGTGTTTCATGTACCTCTCATTCATCAATCGGTTAACCATTACCACGATGATGACTAGAAGCTCTTCCTTCAAAACCTCGCCCTCTACTCCACCAACGTCATGGTACATCACGACCTTCGCATGAGGGTGTTTCCCCCCTGGCATTGGACAGGAGAACCGAGGTCTCCATTTGCCGCTGACCCTCCAATCATACCACGGCTGTGGCATTGGCGATGAGTCTGGAATTCCACTGTTCAAATAACATCAACAACTACCAGCCCTGATCAAAATCCTGGGTCTAATACTCTTTCTTACTCCGACCGTCTCCGACCGTCTCCAACCTGTCAACGATTTCAAAGGTTGCTTATCCTCCTCGGTGCCTTTTCGTGGTGCCAGGTCGGCTTCAGTAAATAGCCTCTGGCACATGGTACTTGCCCATCCGTGGGTACTATCGTCTCCAATCTTCTTAATGAATGGAGTGCTATTTTGCAGTACATTTTCTTCGGACTCGATCCTGCTATTTTCCGGGCACGGGGCTAGGTTTCTTTCATGTTTGCGTAGCACCTCTTCTGACAACGGAACGAAGAATTGTTCGTGGGCGGCTATGCCCTTCGCGAAACACACTGACTGACGGTCAAGGAGGGAAACATGAATCTGCAAATCACGAAGAGCTTGGAAAGATATCCCGCCGATCTCTCGGTCCAGGAGGCTGTCGTAAGAAGTATTCAGTATGCTGAAAACAATTTTGTCGTCCTCGTCGCTGGTGTCCTTGGGGTGAAAGGCCTTGGTAGTATCCTTGATACGACTCCAGATTGCTTTCACCGCCATGACCACTGTGAGTGCTCCAAAGAGAGAGGGTTGGATCTAGACCAGTTCTTTCGATGGGAGAGGAAATGAGTAGAGCGGGGAAGATGTTGTGGGGTGCTGGGATGAGCCCCGGGGGAAATGCCGGAGAATGTCAGGATTCCGTCACGAGGGGTGTTGTCCACTAGGAACACCCCCAGCATCATTCACTGCATATATTCTTCTATAAACCAATTCACTGGCATTTCCTGAGTATTTTTTCAGGCACTATTTGCGGGACTGGATATTCAGACCCCAGTACTCCGTCCACACTCAACAGAGGGTTCCATGCAAGTTACTGCGAACGGTCTTCATCATTTTGCCCCATAGGAGACGGGGAGCCCATAGGTCAAGATAGATAGTGATACGGAGATCGTGTAGCAAGTGTAAGATATAGTATTTCATCAACTTGCAGTCAGAACACATGCAGCATCGGTCCCACCAGAGCGGCCCGCTACCCGAGATAGCAGCAAAAAAAAATACAAAAATTAATTAATGCTCACACTCGGATTCGAACCGAGGATCTCATGATTACTAGTCATGCGCTTTACCAACTAAGCCATGCGAGCTGATTGGCTGTCTGATGCATTTTGGAGAACTATGATTCAAGTGCATGCAGGAAGAAGGTGGGATGTTGGGAACCATAACGCATCCACATGTAACACGCTTGAACCAAGAGCACATTGAATTATTGATTAACAGCAGGGCAAGTATATCAGAGCTTTCCAGGCAAACAAACACTAGTGTGTACGTTTAGATATCAAGACAATTGGTCGGTTGTGGCTGCTTGTTGACAATATACGGAGAAGGCCTCGACTATAGGGCCAGCAGCGATCACATGATGCTGGCCAACAGTCGTACAAATGATGGTAAGAGACAGAAAGAACCTTTGCGTAGCTGATAGGCAAGCTAACCGTGTATTATACTGCTTTCTCTCCCCAATAGATCCATTTCATCAAAAAAAATGTTCATCGAAAATTTGATGTGGAATCATACTCTGGAGATCCCGTTTCTCGAATTATAAATGTTTGGATACCAAGCTGGTAGTCTCGTGGTGCCATCGTCCCGTCCCTCAATGAAAGAGCAAGGGATGGAACTGAATGCGAATGTCCCTCAAGAGTCCGTAGAAGGACTCGATAGGAACATTAGGCAGTCTAACAGCGTTTAGAACCTTAATTCCAAAGGTCTCTCTAAATGTCCAGCCTCGCATGAATCAACCCCAGCGCCATTTGTAATGGCCATTTGGTGTTCATCATCCTGGTTTTTAATGTGTTCATTTTTGGGCCTTCTGTCTTTGAGCTCCCCAATCAGTGTTCCTATGGGACGAGGTCAGTCAAACAACGATCGCATAGATAGACTCAAACTTACTGCAAATATCCCCCAATCTCCCGTCGGGCGACACCTGGCCACGAGGTACGTATCCGAGCAATTCTTTGGCGTAGCAAGCAGCTGCTAAAGTAGTATATCCCTGCTATTGATCCTTATTGTGCGAATCAGCGTAGTTGCAAATTCCTCGATTAACTAGATAAGGAAAGCCTATCATCAAGCCGGTAGCTTCCATTTCGAAGCACAGCGCCCCCGTTTCTCTCTGGATCCGATCTCTTGTTCCCCCGTGTTTTATAATATTGCCCGATGCAATGATACCATAATGTGGCAGTGGCTCATGGTGCCTTTCCTCCCTCTCCACCTCCCGCTCCGCAGAACAACCTTCGCAGGTAGCTTCACCGGTCGGATGCTCGTACTGGGAGTGGAAAAGCCGATCAGATTCCTGGCTTGGTCGACAGAAGGTTTGTCGTGTCCGTGAGCTCCGTTGGATGATCTCCTCAATATAAGAAGGATAACACGGATCATCGGTTAACTCGGCAGCCCTCATCTGAGCGGCTGCAGCTAATAACAACCTGGGAGGACTGTTCAATGACCCAGTACGAATCAACTTTCCATCCCTCTCTATTTTCCCAACATGACACTGGATCACACCACCACACGTCCCCGTAGGATGGCTGACCACAATGTCCCCGAGCCGCATATCATGCGCAGCAGACGGGATGCCTCCTCCGATCCCAACCAGTAATCCAATGCGTAGCGACTTGGAAAAAGTCCGAGTCATATGGTTAGCCGCCGTCGTGGCTGAAGTCATCCCATAGTTTCCGCCCAAACATGTGAGTACCACATAATGTCTGCCGATTCGCCCCAGTGTGTAAATATTTGAATCTGCATCGTCCTGCTCCTCTAGAGCTCCAAATGTCTCATCAAATATTTCTTGGGCAGCGGCTGCCTCGATGGGAAGGGCACAGATCCAGCCAATCTGGAACTCGTCAAGTGCGGGGCACGGCATCATGCTCGTTTCATGTTCCACTGGTTGCTCACCAATTTATATCGCTGATCTTTTGGCGATGAAGTCGACAGTCATTGGGAAAATTTCGAACCAAAGAAACCTCTAAGAGAAGTTCGAATCATCATTAGGATGGAGGGAGACATTCGATAGCCTCGCGAGGCTAAGGCTGACGGCGAGGTCGAGTCATCCATGTCATGTCATGTATCAGCGGCAAGAGACGCGTTGTTATTGGGTGGATAAAAGATACTTGGAAGGCTCTGCATGTTGGTAAGGATAACCATGCGAGAGACCTTACTACTTCGGGAATCTGATTTGACAGAAGAATGCATAAGCCAATATGAGTTCAGGCCAACTTTGTTAACCGTCTGGGGGTGTTGACATAACAGGTCTCTGCATCGCCAAACGACAGAAAAGAGAGAAATTTCTCCAGGCCCATATTGTCACGCTTCAGCATCAGCTTCACCCAAGGTTGTGTAGTGTAGTGGTTATCACTCTGGATTTTGACTACATTCTTGTACTGAATTCCAGTAACCCCGGTTCGAACCCGGGCACGACCTATCTTTTTCTCTTTTTGCGCTGCCGCCAGCCCCGCGTTGATGCTTGCAGGATGGACCCACTCCTTCGCGTTCTACTCCGCGCCGACGGGCTTACGCGAACTGGACAACGGGTACAGAGATCCAGCCATCTCAGAGATCTGGGAAAAGTCATAGTCGATTAGCAGAATGATTAGCAGATGTGCTGCATCATTCGATTCCCAACACAGGCACTGGGAAATAATGATACTCAGATAAAATTTCTTTTTTGTTGACATCATTCGACCTCATTTTGTAACAGAATTCTAGGTTAGTTCGGACAACACCCCTTACCTTGTGCAGTGGCAAGGGTGTCAAGATTCTGGCGATTTCCCCGAGACTGGGCGCTTGCGTCAGCTCCCACGTTTTCATATCTCTCGTCAGTGACGCAGCTGCATGCATGCACCGCTACCTTTCTGATATGCACACGTTTATCGCCCAATCCGAATAGGGTGCTGTAATTTGCGGCACAATCCAGGGAAAGGGTGTCGTTACCACACATCCCCATTTACATAAACAGCTTCCAGCCCTACAGGGTGAAACAAAGATCGATGTTCTGCCTAATAATTAAAATTTCCAGATCCATTTTACCCTCATCTCCTCATACTTCCTTCTACTTCCTACTTTTCTGTAACATGCAAGCCCTCAAAATAATACCCAAACAAGAAGAATGCGACCGCCCAGCAAATACAACTCCCCAGCCAGCCAGCAAGTCATTTCTAACGATGACGCGTCACTCCTGACATTTTCTTCGCCAAATTATCCCCCGGAGCTGGACACGACCACCATCCAACGTGTCGCAAGAAGGATACTCCCGAGCCCCTCACGAGCACCACTGACATCATACCCGCCATGCATGAACGAGGAACCATCCGATCCGGCCCATCCGCCGGAATCCGACCCGATCCCCTCCCTTCCCCCACTATAAAGCGCTCCAGGCACCAACCACCACACACCATCCGACATCCCAAATGAATATAACTACATAGAATATACCCAGTTTCCTTAACCCGAGCGCAGCAAATAACCCAATAAAAACGCCCCCCCAGAAAAGAGAAAGAATAGGGACAAAAAGCCATGTCTACTTTTACTTTAGCCCGCCACACCCCGCACCTAATAGTGCAACCCTCGGACGCGGCGCTCTCCCCACCAGAAAGCTACCTGTTCGTACAAGACGGGCTGATCATCGCGTGTGGTTTCCTCTACGCGCTCTGCTACATCTTCTGCATGATCCGCACCTACAGCGACAGAACGTATCCGGCGGCGCGCGTGGGCGGGATCCAATTCATGAGTCTGACGCTCGCGTACGAGCTGCTCTATGCGTTTGTGACGACGACGACGCGGTTCGAGATGCTTGCGTTCCTGGCGTGGTTTGCGCTGGACCTGGGGTTTGTGGGTGTTGCGTTGCGGAGGGCGCATGGAGTGGAGGAGCGGCGGCGGCTGGCGAGGAATATGGTTGGGTTTGTGGTGGCGGGGGTGGCTGGGTTGAAGGCCCTTACGGTGTGGTGGCCGGATGAGAGGGAGCAGGTCACGGCGTATTGGACGGGGATTCTTTTGCAGATGCCCATTGGGTGGATTTGTTTGTATGTGTTGTGGAAGGAGTGGGATACCGCGGGGCATTCGTTGGATATGTGGTATGTTTCAGGTTTCGGTTTTTGGTTGGGGGTTGGGGGTGTGTTGCTGACTGGTGGTTTAGGATTACTCGCTATCTGGGCTGTTTTGCGGCTTATGGGGTGTTTTTCTGGAGGTATTGGAATGTTCCCCAGAATTGGGAGTATGTGGCGTCGCTGTGGAGTGTGGGGATTATTGTCTGGACGCTCTTGCCGGAGACGATTTATCCGTTTGTTTATGTTTGGGTGCATCAGACGAAGGCTAAGAGGGAGTAGCCTGCTGGTGACAGATTAGGGGGTGGATGATGGTTCGCTTCTTGGTTGGAGATTTACAGTGCACAGTTTGATGGCAGTAGAAGCCATATTCGATATTCCAAGTGTGAAATGATTGTTGCTATGATGTTATGAATAAGGCCTTCCACACTCTTTCATTAGACCTTCCTCTCAAGGTTGTCTTAGGGCACAAAGGCGGATCAAAACCATAGTGATGACTCTACCCCCAAGTCTGGCCCTTCCAATGCAACAAAAGCATCGGAATGACAGAAACCCCAACAATCAAAGCCAGCACCAACCCCACGCCCCCATTATACCCGACACTCGACAGCATCTGAGGAAACCTATCCGGAGCCTCATATTAGCTCAGTAAACCCATGAACTCAAGAGACACCACTTACCAAAACGGCCCAATAAAGCCCCAGATCTGCCTGACAAATGTAACAAAAACCCCAATACTCACCGCATCCTTGCGATAGCAATCAACCGCGTACGTAACATTCACCGTCGTAACGATCTGATTCCCAGCCGCCGCAATCGCCGCCCCAACGAGGGGTGTCACATTCCACGTATCCGAATTTCCCAGCTGGACTAAGAAGACTACCATCCCGGAGCATGATAGCACAAGTCCAATGTATCCTAGCCAGAGGCGATACTCTGGGGAGGGGATTTGGTGGGTTCTGCGCTGGCGCTGTAGCATCCATTGATCGGATGCGTAGCCGCCAACTTGCTCGCCGAGGACGGAGCCGATAATCAAACTGATGAATTGCAGGCCGACTTGTTGGGAATTGAAGTTGTATTTCTCTGGATAGACTTGCGGAATTTCGATGGAGATGAAGACGCTGCAGAATAGAAATACCATGGAGTAGGCGACGACGGGGATTGTGACGCAGGGGCGGAGGGCGAGGGTGAATGGTTGGAGGAAGTCCCGGAGACGGAGGGGGGTCGGGTCAATGGGTCTGAGGAATTTGGGGAGGTGATGCTTAGGGGTTGTGTCTTGTGGGGTGCTGGTGGTCTTTCTCATGTAGAGAGTTTCCGATCCGAGGAGGAAGTAGAGGATTAGTTGGACGCCGTTTGTCTGGGAGAGGTTAGCTAAGTACAAGTCTTGGATATATGGGGTGATTAATTTACAATAGCCAGAATCCAATAAATCCATCGATATCCAACACGCAGCGCCACGAACCCGAAGATAAGGGGCGCAACAGGCACACCCAACGTAGCCATCAGGGTCCATACACCCATACATCGGGCACGATCCTTCTTGAAGAACGTCTCCGCTACGACACCACTACCGAAAACCGATTGCAGGGCTAATAAAGAAGGATGTAATAGCCCGACAGAGGCCCATGGTGGCATAGCTGGGACTCTTCGCGCAGCCCACGTTACCTACCAGACTACAAACGAGGGATATGAGGAAGATAGGTCGTCGACCATAGCGACTTGACAATGGGCCCCAAAAGATCGGGGCACCTCCGAGTATTGCGATAAATAGAGATACCAAATAGCTGGTTCGCTGAATACTGACGCCGAGGTCTTCCGAAATAAGCACGAATGCACATTGGATGGATGCAGCGGTGAAGGTGCCCATCATTCCGTGGAAGGAAACGAGAACAAGGTTGCAGATTTTCTGTGGGTGTTAATCTGGAGCAGTATGAGTAGGACGGATGTTGTTGTTACCTTCCATCTCGGCCAGTTGTATGGGTCGGCCTTGGTCATGTCTGGAATCGGGTCAAGATTCAAGGTACCATGGCGTTGGAGCAGGAATTGACGATGCTCTGGGGCAAGCAGAGCAATGCCTTCCGGCATATCATGGTATTCTTGCATCTGGGCATTCTCAGGGTCCTGGTGAGTGGAGTGGGGAAACTCCGACTTGTCGCCCTCGATGTGCTCAGTCTGGGGCTTCATGGTGGGCTATAGCTTCCACCAGTCTTGATAAATATGAGTGAGAAAATAATATGTCTCCAGAGGATGTCTGGGGACACTGTCTTGCAAGTACACTGATTTCCCCCAATATTTATAGCCCTGCAGGTCGGATTCCAGCTCGGGTAGAAGGACTATGATTCAAACCCAATCCCCACTTGCCCTCGCCCGTGCCAAGGGATCATCTCTTGCTTTCCCCGGAATAATGTGGGGAAGACACCCTGTCAGTGCGGGGGATGGGCCCTGCAGATGGAATACGAGATGGCGCGGGTAACCAATATCCCGGCCTAATCATCCACAGCCGTCTAGATCGGGTCTACCGAACATTCACCACACTTCGCACTTCTCCGAATGTCAAACTTCGTTCAATTTACCGATAACTGTCCCTACCATCGCAATATTCAACTCGCTTAAGCCCGAGCCTGAGCCCGAACCAGAAGAGGGTTCTTCAGGTCACCAATCCCCACACTGACCAGCTCGGGGAGCTTACCCCTATACAGCTGTTTTGCCACATCCAGCTGCTCCTGTTCATCTGCCAGCTCAAACCTAAATTCCCGAAGAAGCATGCTCATCAGTTTCAATATATTAGTCATCACCACCGTCTTTCCCAAGCACTGTCTTCCACCAAGACCAAAGTGCATCAATAACCGAGCTTTGGCGGCAATTTCTGGGTTATCCCATCTAGAAGGGTCAAATATGTTGTGGTCTGGTCCCCACACATCTGGGTTGTGGTGGAATGCATGGTTACAGACGGCAATTGATGTCTACAAACAATCAGTATTTAGTTGCAACTAAATTGGGGGGGAGGCCGACGCCTTGTGGAATATGGTGGCCCGAAATGGTCACACCCTCCGGTGCTATAACTCGTCGAGCAAGAGGTATGGTAAATACTGGTGTAATCAGGAAGTTTTCTTTGACGCAGTTGCGCAAAAATGGAAGAGATGCTTCGGCAGCAGTAACAGAGTACGCAGGTGTGTCTGGGGTTAGGGGTGAGAGGTTTTGATCAATCTCTTGAACACATTTTTCCATGTACTCTGGGGCGTGGAGGAGATGGTAGAAAAGTAATGCCGTGGTCGCGCTTGTTGTATGAGTGCCCGCAATGCTGCAACCGATGTATATTAGCGTCTAACTCACAACCGTAGACAGTTAAAACTAACATAAACCCAAATGCTTCCGTTTCAA